AGGAAATGGTCCTGGAAGAGGATTTTCACGTGTAAAGTAAACAATGTAGAATCGAACAACATAGAAAATCAACAGAACAAAAAGAATATTGAAGAAATCTATCAGGTTTAATGAAGCTAAGACTGATAGAAGGTTTGACATTTTGATACGTAAATGCTGGTTAAAATCTCGTATAAAAGAACATTAACCATTCATCTATCGCTATTGATGCATGTACATGTACGTATTAAGTAAACTTGCATATCGACATGGCCCAATCCTATTGGTTAAAAATTTTCACAAATAAATTTATCTCCGAATCGATCCTTTTTTCTAATCGATAGATCCGATTATCGTTATCGTTATATATACGTATATATATATAATTTTAACTCCAGTTCTAAATCTAACGCTAACTCGAATCCAAGCAGTAAAATAATCATTAATATTAATTTAAAACAGCTAAATCTCTCTTAGATATAGTCTTAGTTTTTGTTAAATAAATGGGGGTGAGTCAACAGAAACCAAGCAAATTATAAATGTAATACATATATAATTTGCTTGGTTTCTGTTGACTCACCCCCAAATCGTGACTTTGAAATAGCTTCTTATACATGTATTATGAGTGATCTGAACTAGGAATATGAATCGATTAATAACGATTGGAAAATGATGTTCACTTGTGAAAATGTTACAAACTACTGTCATTTAATAATAAGCAAAAAACTATTGCCAAATACAGAGTTTAATAACTCTTATAGTGCTAATGCCAAAGTAACTGATATTGATCCAAGCTTGAATGATATTTATGAAACAACAGAAAATACATGTAATGAAACGGATACAGAATCTCAATCTGATGACAATACTTCAATTGCATCTATATTATTTTTACCACCTAGTATATACGAATTCAACTATTCCAACGAAAAGGAAAAAAATCAACTTGCAATGAAACAAAACCAAAGGCCATCGTCGTCGTCATTGAGAATCGATTCCTCAAATTAAAATCGATTAATCGAATTTTATCGTTATTTAAAACGATTACGTAATTGAGTAATCGATTCTGGGTTGAGAATCGTTTCCTGTCCCTATAATGTAGTACGACCTATGATACCAATGGTGTAAATTTATTATTTTTATTGAAAAATACTGTGATCTTATTCCAGAAAACAGACCAACTGCTAAGGAACTTTACAACTTTTTCAACTAGATCAACAATAGATTGTTACATCTGAATATTTTGCATTTTCAGTGTTCTAACTCTTGAGAATCTCCTAAAACACAAAAAGAAATCTAGAATGGCAGAAATTATATATTATTTAACCCAGAAAAGAAGAAATTATATTTGATAAGGAAATAAAATTGACAAAAAGCATTCTTACAAATATAATTCCACTCGAATGCAGGCATCTTTATTAAAGAACAAATTTCAGTTCTAAATGACACAGATACTTTTATTTCTAAATATAATTTATATTAACTTTAAAATTACATCGATATTTAGGCTCTACAAGTGTCTGTTTGAATGCACCAAACGATTGTGAACGAGTAACTTGTAATAAAAAACTACAAATTCAAGATGACACACTAAATAAAATAAGAATGCTGCTCTTTGTTAGAAGAAAATGGTAATTACTTTATAAATCAATATCAACTATGTTTCGAGTTAAAGCACAACGATCAAAAACGTTTCTATTATTTATCAACTTCTTTGTGTTTGCATATATTTTTATTAGTTTAACTATTGCTGTCCGTTACTTTAGTTATTTTATTAATATGGTGCATAACATCTAAAGTCATCAAACGTTTGTATTTTACAAAATGTATAAACA